CACAGCCATCTAATGCCTAAACCTAGTCTGCATCTTCTCACTTAAGGATGGTGAGAGAGGGTAGTTAAAAAAAACTTTGACAGTTGAATCTCAGTCTAAGTTTGGGGAGCTTGTAATTGGGTCTCTGCCTCTGTCTTTGCCCCAGTCCCCAGCTGCTAGTACATTGAGCAGTTCTGTAGGCAAGTCACACTGACTTGGAACTAGGCAAGCAAACTTTGATCCTGGAAATTCACAAGAAAGTCACTAAATCACTGAAATGTATCTTGATTTTTAATTGAGGTGTTGAGTGTGTGCATAAACACGTGAAATTAGAAATTGCCCTTTTCCTAAACTTAGTTTCTCCTGTTACTTTGAAACTTGTTGCTTATTTTTAACAATAAATGGTTTAATTTTCAATTGACCTTTTCTCTCATTTATTTTCCCTCCCCAAATCAATATTGTCTCATTCTGCATCTCTTTTATTTGAACCTTTGAGAATTGCACATGAAGCACATACTTCAATACCCTAGGATTAGTTTTGGTTATGCATCTTTTTGTGCCTTGTGATTAAAGAAAAACACTTAACTATTTTGCGTACTTTGAGCAACATCTGTCTTTAGAAGAGCAGCAGGTAATTGGGTTTTTTTCCCTTCTGTGTTCTAGTGTAACTTCCTCTTTTCTCCCCTCATTTTTAAGTGCTATCAGATTATTTAATTTCTAGACTTCACTCTTAATAATTTTCCTCTTAATCCATTTGCTGGCACTATAATCATTGTTTCCCACCCAGGCCCAGAATTTTACCTCTGGTATTACGTATTTACTTAATACCAGAGGTAAAAATGTTTTTTGGAATGGGAGGAAAATTAAGGGAAATGACCTTGTTGCAGGTCAGATGAGAAATGCACCTTTGAAACAAGTATCCACATACCATAGATTGTATGTTTTGGTTGTTTTTTTGTTGGGATTTTTGGGAGTGTTTTTTTATTTGTTTGTTTGTTTCTTTGAATGTGGCTTGGTCTTGGAATTCACAAGTACAGTCTCTTTGGGAGACAATGAACAAGGCAGGTGTCCACAATATGCCAAAAGGTGCTCCACATGCTCACAGGTATTCAGTACATGACCATACTAGAACCAGTCCAAAGTTAAAGAACATCATTCTTGAGTAGCACAAGCAGGAAATTGTCTGGTTGATTCCATAATCTGAGCAGTAACCTCAGTTCTGGATAAAACCTAGTTACTCCTGTTATTGTTACTTCAAGGCCATCAGTTCTTGGTGGTATCTCATTTTTGAGTTCAACAGATATGGTGTGGTATAGATCTCATCTACTCTGATCCTGTTTTGATTTGGTCAGTTTATGCTAAGTTTATTCTCTAAAATACTGTTTTTATTGTAGGTTTGTGTTTGTTGGTTTTTTTTTTTCTTAATGTATCTCTGGTAGAAGAAGACCCTAATGTTAATGGAAAACTACCTGTTGTTTAGTATAATGTGTATAATGGTTCCAGTCAATTCCTCCATGTCATCTAATACAGCTGAATATATCTCCATTCTTCCAGTGCCAAATAATTACTTCTCTTTCATGCAAGGTTCCAAATGCATATTGCTTGACTAATCTAAGTTCCTATTTGTTTGACTTCCCTTTGCTTACTCTAACGTCCAGTTTAATATGCTTTCTAAAATGTCATCTGTCTTTAGTCCGTAGCAAACTTTACGTGACTAAAACCTGTTCCCTGCCTGTCAGTCACTGACTTTCCGGACCACTTTGGAAATATCTTTCAATCACACTGTAAATACAACTTTCACTACAACATCCTTTTATTAGTAGAATTGAAACATGTACAATAACTAAGCCTTGGAAGGCAGGACAAATTTTCCACCTATTTTTCCCTCATGATTTATCATTCATGGGGATTGAAAATCTAGACATGCTTTGTTATCTGCAGGTGACTATTTTGAATCAGCCCTGTTGGTACTAAGTTATTTACTATAGGTTTATTAGTAGACCATATGAGATGTGTTTGGGTTATGGATAATTGACAAGTGTTCGTATTGTGTGACTTTCTAACTGATGACAATTAATTATTTTGGCAGAGGCACAGAGGACCAACATGGCAGTTTCTCTTGTTTCTTAGGATGTGGAATAGTGGTGGGTTTAAGCAGGGAAATTTTACTGGTGGTGTCCACACAGATCTGTTATCTGCCTACCTTAGACTAAAGGCCTTAGAGTAAAGCTGATATTCTCAGGAACTGTATATGGCTATTCAAACTTTAAGGATTTAAGCTCTCCTGAAAATGTAATAATAAAGATCATCCTTATCTGATCAATTGTTAAACGTGTGAAGAAGATGTTCATCAGTTGGAGAGCTGCTGTGATTTCCATACTAATCAAAAGCACAGTCAATCTTGTTTCTTCAGATTTTTCTTATTCCATACTTCTTCCAGGAAATCAAAACTTTAGTAAAAACTTCAATTTCCCTGTCCAGCATCTGAGAATACACATTTTTGTTCCTTCCCAGGCTCCTGGTTATGGTGATGTAAGGCTATCATTGGAGACAATACCAGATACTGTAAATTTGGAAGAACCTTTTGACATTACATGTAAAATAACAAATTGCAGGTAACAATGTCATGTGATTCTCCTACTTTTTCCTGAGTGAGTGAGTTGTGGCTGGTTTTGTTTTATGTTTCAGTACTTCCTCCTGAAACTACTTAAACCTGGTCTTTATTATGATTTGCGGTGACACAAAACTACTTGAAACACAGAGACTAAAAAAAACTCCAAGGAAACAACTACAACTAAAAAACTTATAGAATGATCTGTTAATATGGTACTGAACTAGGAGATAGCCAAAATTCTGTAGAGAAATTCCATTAATCTGTCTGCAACATTATTTATGATTTTACCTCATACTTAAATCAGAACTCATTTTAGGGTTGCAAGACTGACATTTAAATAAAGTAATTCTAAATAGAAGTTGAACCCAGAGACTAAAGCATGTATCTGGCCTGCAGATGGTTCTCATCAAAAGCTTGTAGTCCATCCAAGTATTATGTTATCCAGTATTGCTAAGCCCATGACAGCATGCTGTGTCAAAGAGAGCTGTCTGCAGCCAAATTACTGTGCATCACAATAAATACTGCTTGCCACCTTATAAGTATTTATGAATCTGGGTTAATAGTTACCTGAATAATAATCAAGCTTTTAGATGTTTGCAGTCTTTGAATGCTTAAAAAAGCCCACAGGTTTATTCTTGTTTCTTGATTTCCTCTAGCAGTGAAAGGACTATGGATCTGGTTTTAGAAATGTGCAATACTAATTCCATCCACTGGTGTGGAGTTTCAGGAAGGCAACTTGGGAAGCTGCACCCAAGTTCGTCACTCCATCTTGCACTTACATTGTTGTCTTCAGTGCAGGGATTGCAGGTATGTTATTAGCACAGTTTTCTTGTAAAATAGCTGTTTTATAATATTAACAATTCTTTCTAATAACAACTCATAAATATTTTCCCCTTCTAGAGTGTCTCTGGCCTAAGACTTACAGACACATTTTTGAAGAGAACATACGAGTATGATGATATTGCACAAGTCTGTGTAGTTTCTTCAGAAATCAAGCAAGGCTGAAGAAAAAAAAAGTGTAGTTTTACTGGGTTTTTTTTGACCAACTTCTTGATGTTTTTGCTGTCAATTGTTCTAAAATGAGTACAAAAAAATCAAATCCCTATATAGCTGTAAATGTGATAATAATTATTTAATTTCTCTGAGCATTTCTTGAATGTTTTCAAATATTTTAAAACATGCATATGCATTTTATCTACTAAAAATAAAACCTTTGAAAAAAGTGTAGTTCTAGCAAATTATATTGCATTTACATAATCTCAGGACAGGAGGATGAGATTGATAAGAAATATTAGCAATTTGTGCTTATTTTTCTTATTTTAATTTTTTTAAAGTATTTAAACCCTTTTAAAATCACGGCTCTGACAAGACTACTTCAGTTCAGAAGAACTGATCTTTTACAGACAAGTTCCTGGAATCCAAATTGAAAAAAAAAAAAATAATATGGGATACCTGACATGGCAGTGTGTTTACATGGTACATGTACAGCTATAGGAAATAAAACCTGATAAAGGCATGAGATGAGAGAGTGCAGCTGGCATTGTTAGAGGCACTTGGAGCTAGGAATTGAAGTATAAGCAATGACGGTGTTGGTTGTGGCTCACTCTTTGAAGCAGAAGCAGTACAGCAAATCTGTCCCAATTATCTGCTGTCATGAGCAGAGTTGTGCATTCCTGCAATACAGGACATGTTGTTAACAGGCATGTTACTTTCCAAGTAGTAGGGAACTGAAAACTAAAATAGTAGAGCTCAGGTAGTTTCTTATTGTTAAAATAAGGTGGTGCCAATTATTCTTCCCATCCCAGAGGCAATTAAATAGATTTTTAAGGAAAAAAAAAAAAGAAAGGGAAAAAACCATCCTGCATTGCTGCCTTAGATCAAGTTCTCTAAAGCATACACAGGAGGAAGTTTTGGGCCTGGTCAAGCACTACAATGTGCTTTTCCCTAGCTTTGTTTTGACAGAAACTGAAAATGTTTTTGGCTGAAATATCTATGGTTACCCAGAGGCAGCCATTTTATAGACAAAATGGCGACTGTCTTTCCTAGTTTAACACTAGTTAAACTAGTGTTAAAGACTAATCAGCAGCTTGTATTTCTCAGCTACCATGCTGGCACTTAGCAACTTCATAGTTAGTTTTGACACTATTTTACTTGAGCTTCCCATGTATAAAATCTTGAGAGTGTGAAAATACTGGAGAAATTTAAGTATTAAAATACAGTGTTAAAATACTGGAGAAATTGCGAACCAGCTTTGTATGTTGAGAAACTAAGTCCATACAGGAAACAATAAATTAGAAATGTATCCTGCCTATGTGATAAAATCCAACCAATATGAACAGGTATATAAACAATGCAATTTACCTGCTACTTGAGATACATAAAAAATTAAACCAGAAAACCACAACTATACAGACAAAAAAAAGTATATAACTTTATTTATAATATATCTTTGAGTTAAACTACACAAATTGAAGGAGATGTAACCACATGGCAGTAAGAGGTAGGAGAGATACAGAAATAGTAGACAAGTTGCATTATGCCAGTAAAACTTTCTGTTGCCATAAAACAATCTACTCAAAGTTACAGAGCTAGTTCTATATCAGTATGCATAAGTGATTTTACTTTGCACTTGTTACAAAACCAAGAGTGCAACTAAAACAACATCTAAGCTGAATATTTCTTTAAGTGTCTTTATGATCACTGTTAGAAGAATATACTCCCATGCAAGCAGGTTACAGGAGTTCACAATTGATTGCAAAATACTTTCTTCTCTAACAAATTATTGTACTTACACACTGATGGAACAATAATGATACAAAACCAATTAGGTGTAAATGCGGATTTGCTCAGTTGAATGATAAACTGCAATTGATCTTAAATTAAAGCAATATTTAGAGGGATTGTGGGTTTACCACTTTATCTATCAATCAGGATGAAAAATTTTAGCACAAGATACAGTGCAGTTACTACACAGGAAAAGATTCCTTCCACACCCTGTGCTTAAGACATATTGCGTGACTGAAACAATCTAGGCAATTCAAAGGAAAGCAGACTTTAGCATAAATGATCTCTCTGTTCATGGTTTCAGTGGAAAAGCATGTAATGACAGCTCCTGTTACTGGTTTCACTGTTTTTTGTTTAGGCTATAAAGCCCCTTCTGTTAATACATAAGAAATAGAGAATGTTTACTAGTAAAGTATTGTGCCAGACAGTTGTAGTACATTCCTGAAGGCTTAGCTAATGCTGTTAACGTTTTAATATATACTCTGTATTATCTGAAGTAAAACCTAAACAATATTGTAGCATGTGAAGTGAAAGTTACAACTTCATGAAGATGACTTCAAGAGTAGTTTTCAGGTAACTAACCAATGCTTCATTCCATTTAACCTTGGGGATTGTTCTCCCATAAATCCAGTAAGTTATAGAGCTTGTACTTAACAGTATGAGTACACTACTTCTTCTGCCCTTTTTGGATCTTAACATACTTTGTCGCTCTTAAGGAACTCTCATTAAATTCTTGACACTGTCTCAAAGCAGAAAAGTAACTGCATGAGGATTGCTCTTGCAAAGTGAGAATAATTTGCGTTTGTACAGAGATATTGGCAGAGCTGCCCACTCCACCACGGATTTTTTGGTTCCCCCTATCAAAGTTAGTGAAACACACTTTGGGCAGTTGAAGATATGAAAGAGAATTAAAAGGAACTGTGAAGTTTAACATGATAGGTACAATGCTTCTCTCCTGACACAACACACTATTCCAAGTAATACCTGTACACTTTTTGTAGCCCACCCAGCACCTCCATAAAGCTTCCTTCTAAATGGTATTCCTGTCCTACACAGTGTAATTAAACATAATTAAATTTCCTTGAATAAATAATATTCATAATCTGAGCTACCTCTGACAAAGGATCCCTTTAGGGATTCTCTTTCTTGTCATCAGATATTGAGTCAGAAGCTGTTACTTGAAAATGTATTTAATGTAAAGCCTAAGTATCTCTACAACCTGAAGAAAGCAGCTATACCAACTCAGTGAGAATTTTCAAAAGCATTTTAATGCTGTACATAGACAAGCTATTCAATAAAGTATGAAATGTCTTAAAATTGTTTATGTATTAAGCTTTACCTCTTTATTCAACAGATGGTAATATGGATTTCCTAGATTTGTGTTTTCTCCAATTCCTTTCATTTCTCCTTGGATCAGCATTTTTCTGTCTGGTTTAGTAGGGTAAGATTCATACCGTAGATGTACAACAGTAATTTGTTAGAATCAGGTATATTACTTAGCCCCAAATTTTGCATTTGCTTCTGCTGGAGGAGCTCTTTTATGAGCACAGTGTCAATTGGATATAAAGTCCAAGGTTCAGGAGTTTCTGTGTATTTCTCCATTTGGGAGTCCATTGTTACTCCTCCAGACTAACTGGCCATGAGAGATCACTTTGCCTAAAAATTCAAAGCAGGCTCCTCAATTTAGTTTAGATATGGGAAGAAGAAAGTATATTGAGAAGGTCCCTGGGCTAAGAACAAGTGTACTTTATATTACAAAGCAGTGTGAACAGTAAACAGAGTAAAAAAAGTTAACATACTAGACGTACAGAAGAGCAGCAGTCTTGCAAGAGCGATATTAACTGAGCAAGAAACAAATACTATAGAGTCAAAAAATCTTTAGCTTGACTATATAACCATCATTTTAGATAGATATATGTAATTAAAAAAAATCCCCAATTGTTTAAGCCAGTGATTTATCACACAAGGATAGAAAAAGAATCCTTCTAAGGCAGTTCTTTTTTAAAATTTTCAGTACTAGTTATTTGTACAGTCACAGGCTCAGTTTTAGCTTATTACAGTTAAGAATTTTACGTTTATATTAAATACTGCATACATACGGAATGTAATACAGCTTGCCATGCCTAGGAACATAGAGCCATAATTCTGACCTCCAGGGCTACCATCATGATGTGAGAGTATACATGGCAGTAGAAAACCCTACAACTTTTCCTTTCCCAAGCCAAGTTCCAATCCAAGTTTGATTTCTGTGCATTATCCTACACAGAATTACTGTCTTTTCTTTCTCTACAATGTGTGCTACTCCTTCATACGCAGTCATCTCCCTCTCTTCTGCCCAATGAAGTTGTAAAGTATTTCCTGTTACTCATGAAGGCCCCTCCACAGGATTAAGGAAACAGACTTCTCAAGCATGAGTTTTAAGTACTCTCTGTACCAACACTACTTAATGCTCATTATAAAAGGGCACATCAGATGGGCCTATTGTTTCAATATTTCAGTATTTCAATACTGTTTAAAGGAGGACAGCCATCACAATCTGTACCATATGAGTAACACATCTTCTACACTATCATTTTAGAAGTAGCTATTAGGCAAGATCAGCACACTACAAAACTCCCCACTCAGTAGCCCTGGAGGTCAATCTGATGCACATACTGAAATGACTGGGACTTGGGGATTTTGATAAACCACTTATTCAGTGTATTGATTTTCAGAGGAGTAACTACACATAAACGCTATGTTCCAAGTTATGTGCAAGAGGTCTGTTTACCAGATTTATTCTTGTTTGCAAACACACACAAAGAATTTTCTGTCTTCTATTCAAGCAGAAGAGTTACAATGGTGCTTTTGCTACTAACTATGGTATGCATTTTGGGGTTATACATCATTCCAATTAATGTGACTCATTGAAGTCAGGAATGTTCTTCAGTGCTGCCACTCAAATATCGGCTCCGGATATGATTTCTCAGTTGCTCTATGAGCTCAGGATTCTGCTGCTGTATCTGCTGTGCAAACTGCTGCCCCCTGTGTTGAACAGTTTTAAGTGAGCTCAGCAAGTGAAAGCAGCATTTGTAAGAAAACGGGATATCCCAATACTGCCGAAAGGTGCATTACATTAAAATTAAGATTAAAGATACCTTGATTTACAGTCTTAAGGTATTTCCAGTATTATGAATTTATCTGGTTAAAGCGTCTCCAAACAGGATCATTGTCATAAATTTATTTTCTTTAGTACTATTACTTCTACTTGATAACATGGAGGAGAAAAGTATCAACTTACAAAATATATTACCTTTTACGGTAAAATAACACATCTGCTCCGGTGATTTATTCCCTTCTTTTTGACAGGATCCACTCTAACTGTTTAAAGTAACTACTCTTAGAGTTGGCATGCAACCTTATGTTAATGGTTCCAGCAATACAGCATGCAGCTGCTGACTTGTACTTGTGAACAAGATGTCATTAATTGAAAGCAAGCATACTATATTTTGCATGACTGAAGTAATAACAGATCTATCTATAACAGTTGTAGCTTAAGAGTTAAAATGATAGCGGAGACTAATTCCATGTATAAGAGAAGTGTAACACTTGTTTACTAATAAACAAATAAGTAAAAAATATGATTTAATAAAAAGCCTAGTTTGTCCTCTCTGATACTTCTGCATTTTGTGCAAGTAGCAAACTATCAAGACTCCTTCAAACTACAGTGCAGGTTGAAGGAAAGCCACATTTTTATAGATGTCTGCATAGTACACAGTTTTTATGAAAACAGCCCTAAATTTTTGCAGTGAGACATTTCTGTCTCTGATGTAAATCATAAATTACTTTTGCCCTCAAGAGGTGAAACTTAAAAATAGTTTGGAATTGGATAGAATGCTGCAATAAAGTAAAATTGTATGTCCTATTAGAGACCTTGGGATATAAGCAAATTGCATGGTTTTTTGCAGACCCTTCCAGACAGGTATCATCATTATAGTATAAAAGCCTTGGGTCCTGGGTTTTGTTAAGGTATTCTTCATTATCCTGAGTTCCCTGAAACATTCCTCATCTAAATGGAGGGATGCCAGAGCTGAAATTGTTTTGACTTGTGCTAAGTAAATCTGTAGCTTTCCTAACTAGCATCTGAGATATCAGATAGTAAATTTATCCACACAATTTGAAAGCACATGTAGGAGTACTTAAAAGATTTAAAGGAATTTAGTAAGTGGCATTAGAAAATAACAGCATATGAGAAACAGAAGGTGAAGCTGAGCACATAGCAGTTCAGTCATTCCAGTTGAGGGAAATGTATGGAGCAAACAAACAAAGTCCTGGAAAAGAAGTCTTCGAGTTCTTGGTTTTAATAACAAACAGTGGGAACAGACCACAGTATCATTCCCGTGACACTGCACCCTTTTAAATAGATGTTGCACAGTTTTCCTACTACAAATGTGACAGTTAAAACCATGCTGGTCTTACTTACGCGTGGATCAGGCTGGACAAATCCGAAAGGCCACCAACCCCAGCAGCAGGGCCACCAATGGCATTTGACATCATCCCTGACATCCTGGAACAGTTAGCACAGTGTTTGTATTGGGGTGTGCAAGGACCTTTACTGTAAGCAATAAGCCCCACTTCTTTTTTGAATTGCTAAGAGGAATTAAGTTGCAAGGAGAAGAAGCTACACTTTTACAGTAAGCAAAATAAAATTACATTTTCAGTAATACATCTACATTTCAAAAATATAGCTGTAAGTACTTAATTCAAACTTCTTAAGTCATTTGTTTTAATGGTATCCCATTTTAATACTTACAGTTGTTGAATTTGAGGATTTTGCATTAAGCTTGCTGCCTAGAATAGACAACATACAGCTGAAATTATAAAACATTTACTACTTGGCTATCATGGAGAAAATCATGCAGAAAAAACCCACATGCTATGCTCTGTTTTATTACAAAATTAAGTTACATGCAGAGCAAAAAGAATCACTACAGCAACGTATTTTGTGAAAAATTAAGCTGATACAATTTGTTATGTGTTAAAGAAAAAATAGTGATTATAGATTCAGACATGAAAAATATGACAAGCCATTTAACATAAAAAAACCCCAGCACCAGAAAACTAAACAAACAAATGAAACATTGAAGAATTGCAAGGACAAATGTTTTCTACTGGACTTCTTGGACAAAAGTCTGTATTTTGTTCCTTCTCAGCCTGGATAAATTAATTTTGAAACTATTATTAGTACCAGGCATTAACAGTTAAGATTATGGCCACAAAATATTTCAGATCAAATTGGAGTGTGGACTTACTTTGTAGCATGGTTTTGTGGTAACATATATCTTCTTGGTAACTGCATATCTTCTTATTTTATAGTAAGCATGAGGCTATTTAAATTTCTCATTCATTAGATACCTCTAAAATTACATTGTTTCTACCATAGTGTAAGGGCATCTATGGACTGATACTATCAGAAAAAAAAGTGATTTTTCAATGTTAGTAATGTTATTCCTACAGAAATCAGTGTCTGCATGAATTCACCACCAGCAGACAAAACACAGTTAATTGTCTTATTAAAGATATTACAAAAATCAGATATATCCAGTTTTCATTTTATTGATCAATATATCAATCAACATATATAGATAACTCAAAAGTAAATGAACTTTTTTTCTCTAGTTAATAGTTAGATATAAAACGCATAAAATGTCACATGTCAATTCAGTGCTCAATATAGGGTTAGTTTCTTCCATCAGTAATAAGCCCTCTCCAGTTTAAGGATCAAAAATTGAGGCTACAACAAATTTTCTCAAGGTCAAACAGGCAATTTTTTCACCTTTACAAAAAACCAAGTAACTACACCTTGGGAAAAGAACTCATTTATTCCTGAATAAATGCTCTGTGTTCTATCTAGTTCATCAAGCATCTTCTGGAAACAATGTAAAAGATCCTTTCCAAAGCCAGCTCCAAACATTGATTCTAAACAGACAGAGGTTGTCTTAAAGTACATCATGTGGCTAGTGAAGTACACAGAGATACAGTGCTGTTTAATCGTGAATGCCATCAGAGAACTTGCTCCCTCTTTCCTCGCCTACTGTCTCTATTATTTGGACCATGTGACCAAACCAGATGTATGGATCTCTTTTGAATGCAGCACACTTCCACACAAAAGCACTGGCTGAAATGTGCTGTTCCTTGAAGCTACCAGAGGGCTTGTAAAGTTTTAACTGCTTTCTTAAAGGAAGTAAGTTTGAGGGTTGTTTTTTGTGGGGTTTTTTTCATTTCTTTTTCTCCAAATTCCATTCTACAAAGTTAATTAATTCTGTTTAGCTAAGAAAGCCATGTGGGAAAAAAAAGAATACTGAGGGAGAAGTACACAATTTGTTATTGCACTGACATAAGAAGAATGCAGTAAATGCCATTTATATTCATTTTTTTAACTCTTAAGGTTATTAGGGATAATTTGAAAGAGTAAGAACAGAAAGGTCTCTTGGATAGTTCTCCCACAGGAGAGTTGCTTTAGTCTTTGTATCATTGTTAACTGTTCTGTGGAGAATTGAAGAAATTTTCATCATGCTGTTGACAAGAACTTTCTGTCATAGCATAGATAAAAACAGCATAGCTAAGGTATGTGTATGTTTTTTTTTCTATAAGTAATAGAATCAGCTGGAAATGAGACACGCATTATTAGAGATACTTGCTTCACTTCTTGTTTTGAGTGCAAAATCATGTCAAAAAGTTTAAATTCAGTGTAATAAAACCATTGCTATAGTAGTACTCATTAAAACTGCTTGTACTCTTGAACAACAGTTGTTCTGAAAAGTTCAGTTTTTAAAACAGGATAATGCAAACCTTGAGATATACTCACCATACTAATGAAGGCAGGATTGTTTATCAAGCTTGCCATGTCAAAACTCAGTCCAGTTCCAGTCTACAAACAAATTGCAATTGATGCTAAGTTTCCTACAAAATCCCAGTTTAAACTGTTGTAAATAAATAGATACAGAGCAAACTTACAGGACTGGACACGTCTCTTAGTTTCTGTTCTGCTATTTTCAAATTTGACTTGTAAGAGTCATTCTCTGGATCAAGATCCAGTGCTTTTTGATAACTGGTAACTGCTTCTTCATATTTATTCACTGAGGTCAGAGCCAACCTAATGTGAAATAAAAAGAAATCCTGGTTAGAACATAAATGATCATCAAAAGCTAATGATATGCTTTCTGTTCTAAGTAAAATAGTATCTCACAACTGATTTTTAGCTTGACCATTTAATTAAAACAGGTACTACTGCTTAGTGTAAGCACTTGTTTTTGTAGAGAAGAGGATCCCTCAAGAACACATCTTGCATTGTCTGTTTCATATATATGCAAATTTCATTTAAAACTCCTCAACATCATCAAGTGACTTAGTCACTTGAAGAGCACAAGCTGGATCTGGCATCTGTGCCTTTTTGCATAAGCTCTAAGTGTTTTTTCCAGTTCTTTTGACCTAAGAGATTATTTAGAAACTTACATGGGTGGGTAGGGCAAAGATATCTTAATATGAGTTATAATGTTAATGTTAAGAAACTGGACATACAAATATATTGTTTATTTTTACATATATAAAAAACATACTTTTAATATAATAATTACTGTATTAAATATTTGAATATAGAAGATGTTTGATGATTATATTTTTGTCTTTATACATTTATACAAAATTATTTTTATTAACATTTTCATTATTTTAAAATACTGGACCTACAAGTTTCAGCATTTTTGTCTCAGGATCAATGTAAAGGTTCTCCTTTTGGATCTTGTACTTCAACAACTTGACAAATGGGTTATACAGCATAGTAGTAATATCTGCAAAATGCTGTAAGAAACCCTTGTAATCAAGGAGGCCTACTTAATGTTTTGAAAAAGACTCTGTTTCAGCAGCTCATGAGAGCACAGGACAAACCTACCACCTTTAAGGAGTATTTTATTTCAATTTGATTAGCTACTATGTTTAAAATATCATTCTCTGAACTATTCCAGAAGTCCATTTGGCTGCAGTTGCAATTCTATCTGCCACTGCGTTTTCAATTTATACTGACCAGAAAACTAATCTGATCTTTTCCACATTTTGTAAAAGATTTGTGTAACCCACATTCAAATATTTACTTGTTCAGTTCACCTTCTGATGCTGAGCTACACAGCCTGGGTTGATAAGCCTGTGCTTATGCCCACTAACAGACCTTGGTCTTTCATCGCATGCAAACAAGTTCAGCGTTTTAGATACATCCATGATTGTCATCACTCTCAGTAAGAGTACAAAACTCCAGGAATTTCCCATGTAGCTCCTGGAGGAATCCACACAATAGTGGTGTTTTCTCTCTTTAACTTATTTACCCCCATAAAAAACAGTCTCCCTTTTGGCCCATTAACTTGCCAAAATAGTTTCTGCCTAGACAAGAAATGCAATCTGTTATTTCTGTGATGCAACAGTGCTTTTTACTTATGAAGTATTTTACAGAAAATGTTTCTTGGAGCACAGTACAAGTCAGAACAGCAGACAATTTCTTTCCTCACACCTCCTACCCAGACAAGTGGTCTTTCTGGTTCATGCTGGAAATACCTCCTTTAACTGACATTCCCACTTTAAAATGGCTCCCATCTCTGAATATTTGTGGCATTTCTGCATCTTTTGGTGACATACAAAGAATTTCTGACAGATTCTGAGAAAAACTGATATGTCTCCATAATGCAGTCAGAGAGCACATCTTTTTCATAAGGATTTTTTGTTGAGAAAGTGTTTGCTACACTGGGGGCATGGCAGTGGGATTTTCACTTGCTACTAAACAAGCACAGTTTCCTCATTCAGCCTATGCCAAATGTTTACTCATCTGCTGGGTTAAGCAGTGGCTTGCAGCTCAGAATATGTCCTCTATTAAAATAACCAGACAATAAAATAAAGAGAAGCTTGATTGTCTGAGAATGGTCTCGCTTTCAGTGTGTATCAAAGAAATACTGGTCTTACATCCAAAACTCTAAAATAATCTCTAGTAGTTAAATCAGCCTGTAGCATCCCTCCATATCAGTGAAATCAAGGGAGGTTGAATTGTGCTATATGAAGCAATGTAAGGAGAGTTAAATGAAACAAAACCAATTCAACAACCAATTCAACCTAAAATTCCAAAATCAATTAATCATTTTCAAAGCTCCTTAGTCTAGGTTGGTATTAGTAAAATGAACTGTATTATGGAAAGTTTTTAAGTGATAGAATTCCACCACATTTTATCTTAAAATAAATGTCCCCTGCATGGTTTTGTCCCAAGCCAACAAGAATTATCACAGACAATTTCAGGGCACAGTTCAGAATTTAATACAGGCCAATGCAGTTTAGCAATAGGTTGTTTGAATGTGGCCACTCCATACTGAAAAGTAAATTTTAATAACATGGACATAAGCCATTTTGGGCCAACTGACTCAACGAACAATCCGAAGCATTTTTAAATTTACTGGTATAAATATAATCTCAGAAGACATATGCAGCGTTAAGTCCACTACTACAATGTGCTTGATTATTGAAAATGCAAAGCTAGACATCTTGGAAGAATGGCTCTTCACTCAAACCAACAGCCTGTTAGATCATTCCTGACGTTGTTTTCAGTTAACACTTAAAACCACCCTCAAGAGGCTATAAAGTTAGTCTCTCAGACATTGCTGAGAAAACCTGCCAAAGAAACATAGCTTATTCTTGCTAAAATGTCTGCTTCCAAAGAGCTATTGAAAAACTGAGGCTTGATTCCTGCTAGTGTGAAGCCCCAGTGCTGTTCTCTAACAGCATCATTAGCAGATTCAATGTTCCAACAGCAGAATTTTGATTACTTTTAACTAGTTAGGAGGTAGGAAAAAACCATCACTACTTCCTAAACTAAATCCAGCAAGTTAACAAATTGAAAGAAAAAACCTGCAAACTGAAGAAATCTGATGAAAATGCTGGTATCAACCACATAGAAAAAGAGTTGACAGTCTGATAGTGTCATCTTCAGAAAATTGTTGTACTTACACAACACAACAATGTTCTGTTATGAATTACAATGAATTCTCTAAGTGGCTCCACATATTTCAGAAAATCTATGGTAATACACACATGGGTCTTCAGTGTTTACTCAGACTTCTATTAGCTTACCCCATTCTTCCATAGGCTTTGCTGTACTTTGGATCTATTGCTATGGCACTCTCACAGTCCTTTATTGCTTCCCTAAAGTTGTTGAGCTTACTTTGAGCAGCAGCCCTAAGAGAAAGATGGTAAGGAAATGAAGCTTTGTCAAAATAAAAAAACCCAACCAACCAATAAATGCACAAAAAACCAAAACCAAACCAAACCCCAAGCCTAGATATCCACATGTTTGTGACTTATTTAACCTTACTGACTTTTCGTTCACTATTTTGGCTATGCTTAACTTTCTTTAATGAAGTAGGACAAGCAAATGTTATAATATGTGCCCAAGTGCATTGCTGGACTATGGTTTTGGAGAACATGCACTCACCTTTGAGGACAAAAAGGACAAATAATTCTAAGAAACTGTCTAAGATCTAGCATATGACTATGCATAGAATAAATCATAAAACCTATTACAAGAAGTGAAACTGTCAAGTAGTATTTTATATAAAATCACTGTTAAGGAGAAATACTTTATGTAATTGGTGTTTTCCAGAAGCATTGTTTTACAGCCATTAAAGAAATGCTGTGATTTTTCCCTGCTCAGGATTTTATAATTTGTCTCAAGCTTGAAGGTAAATCACAATAACATTTCTCAACAACCTCTGCATTACTAAATTACAGTTACATCTCTATATTGGACAAATACTACATGTTGCAGATATTAATACAACAAGATTAAAGACTTGACCAAATTAAAAAGTACACATTAAATGAAATCAATGTGACACAATTAAAATGAAACCCACTAATAATAAAAACTTCACCAGTTCGAAGATTTTAAGACACTCTCATTTATTTTCCTCAGTTAAAAAATATAGTAGAAATTACAATATTTTCATTGCATAAAGAACATATCTTTGTTATTAAGAATCCTTTGTCCTGTGATTAGCTCCAAATTGCATGGGTTTTTCTGACTTTGATTAAAATGTCTTCTAAATGGGACTACTTATCAGTTTTGGGCTGTTAAGCAGTTGTCCAACTCCACAGATGCCAGTGAAGATTTACAAATAAAAGCTGGAGGCAATGCTTGTTCTCACATGTGTTTGAACAGAAAACATTTTTCCATGTTCATAAGAAGGCCAGTTAAAATTTTGAGGGCATATCAGCCCACTCTTTTTTGCACTGCTGTGGATAAAAAGCAATACCACTGAATGCAGCATGTCCCCATGGCTCCCTAACAAGCTTAAGAATAAGGTATATGCTTATTGAAATACTCTATCATCCACAAAATTCCAAACAACTCCTGTTTTCTTTTAAATAATTACATACAATACTGTACTGACATCAAGATTCATTTTGGTTCTCACAAATGTGGTATGTGATGATGCAACTCAAAAATTATTTCTGCTCTTGCTTATTAAAACTTTGACATTTAAGCCCATACCGAGGAAACTTCCAGTGATTTTAGGAAGCTTTTGAATCTGGTCTGATATTTCTGTTTTATATGTAAAGTGACTCATGTGACCAGTTTTCACTAAGAATATAGATGATTTACACTTTTGAACAGCCATCCTAAATGTGTAAAATGTTAGCAAACTGCATAATTTCCTTTCTCTTTAAACTTGCCTTTAAATACTGACTCTTTCATTTGTATTTATCAAAAACTAAACTCTGGAGCAATGGATGCAGAACTTCAAAAATAGTATAATCCAGTGGGTACAGTGCCACAAGGCCAGATTGACAGCACTTAAGCTAATATATCCTATATCCTTAAATTAGTAATAGAGGCACTCTAGAGGTGGGCTCATTCCAGTAGGGCCTAAAGTTGGGACTGCCTTTGCTCTCTGGCTGCTCTTCCAAGCAGCGTTCCACAAGACCAGACAGCTGTGACTAGGTTAACATGCCCTTCCAAGCTTACCTGCTGCCAAACCACTATGTCTTCTTCATTCATGATGGTAAACAACAGATTAGATAAGAAAACTGTAACAGCACCATTGTTATTTTCAACAGGTCACGCATGAAAATACTGACTATTTGCAATCTCCAAAATGGTATTCCTGAATTGATGATTTTTTTTTGCCAGAGGTAGCTAGTACTCAAGGAGAGAGAGAGAGCAGCTGAGTCACTAGAACACCAGAGAAAAAGGCTTTCAGTTCTCAGCAGGCTAGAAATCACAGCCTATGTTATGATTGAATATAGACAACATGACACACACGATACATTGTCTGAAGAGTTGTAAGTAATTTTAAAGCCCATTTTAACTGACACAGATATGCTGAATGAGCTCACTTTCACTCTAATTTTACAAATCTAACAATAGATTTCTAAATAGTGAGGTTTCTACCCTTTGACCTGCTTCATAATTTATTTTTAAAATAATGTTAACAAAGTCCAGGAATGAAAGGTGTGTATTTTGGGTTTACCTGTTGCAGTAATAAACTGCATTGTTTGGATCCAGTTCTATAGCCCTAGTGTAACAATCCACTGCAGCACCATAATTTTCTTCCTTCATATGATTATTACCTGAAATGAATTATAAAAAGCTCTTAAGTAATTAGATGAGACAGTATGTAGTTAGATGAGACAGCTCTGTATGAAAGAAACAGAGCAGATGTTTCTGCTACCTTTTAGCATCTACAGAAGTGAGTTATGACTGTACTTTTTTGAGATACATGCTTTAAACAGAAAAGTCATGGAATAATGCAAATAAAAATATCTATTATGTCTGTGAAGTTTCTTATGTGCATTGCAGTACAACACAGAAACCTTCCTCTTTTCATCTTGGTATTTCAGACTTTCCAGCTAGTTTCTGCTGTTAAGGAAAGATCACTTCACTGAGAAGTGTCATTGTAATTGCAGTTTCACTCTAGTAAACTATCTTTGCAAGCCCAATATGCTATGTTAATTTTTTAATCTCATTTTCTTATATGTCCACACAACTTGCTAGTAACTATCTAAATAACACCAAAAAATCAAACAAAAGTAAAACGAAGCACGTAAGCCCCATTTTTGTGACAACAAATAATTAACTCATTAAGATAATTAAAAGTGTGTATAGCGTAAGCAATCTAAAAGGATTCAGAAGTAAAATTTCTCACCAAGGAAGCTTAGAACTTCTACTTTGTAACAAAGTTTCACATTTCATATATTTTCAGTCCAGTGGGAAAAACCCCAGAAACATTTATGTAACTTCTTTATGGACAGAAAATTCTGGACTAAGGTCTTTCAAAGCAAAAGACACCTTACACATTCTTTTGTCCCCAAAACAAAGCAATCCTGGTAGTTTCTCCCTTTCCTGATGACACAGTAGTAAAAAACCCTAGTTCAGTGCCCAGACTTGTCTGTGGTTCTACTACAATCAATTTTTGGCCAGCTAGATCCTACAGAAGCCTTGCTTTCCTAGAAATGTCAAGAAATGGTCAGGAAAAATATAGACTTCCACTGACTTGTATTTCGGCCAAATATTTAAACCTTCTCCTAAAACAAACAAGTCAAGGGATAGGTCAATAAGTTACTACTGATGTAGGTAACTGCGTAAGCAACAGTTTATCTCTGAGAGAAAGCAAGACTGTGGAGCAAGTCTTCAGTGCTTGCACTAACTGAAGCAACTGTACTTGCATTTATTTGTGAACACAAAGAGCTTAGTGAACAAAACCAGATTTAAGTAACAAAGTATCATCAAAGTAGTACAAAATCACATCCTCTGATACTGCTATACCAGAGTGCAATTATAGTAAACTTCCCTTCCAGTGAGAACTCAAAAGAACTGTACTTGCATGTATACCTTCAAAATACATGCAAAATGTAACAATATCTTTCTTGTTTCTAGAGGCCCACTGTTTCTGCAGCTTTCCTTTGTTCTAAGGTAAAGATCTGTACACTAAATTATGTTGTCAGACAAAAAAGCCTTGCAAGTCAGCTGCACTCAGCAAGATTGCAGGAGTTAGTGTTCCTTTAAAACAAAAATGCCATCAATGTCTGTCAGCATTAAAATTTCTGATACTGGTCTGAATATGACCCAGCGTACAAGGCTAAATTGGAGATAGTATCAGTGCATACCCTTCTTATTATCTCTCTCTCCAGCTGCAACCTTGCTACAGGAAAACAGAAAAACAGCTAGATCTACTAATTCTGCTGAGATAAGGAAAAGCAACTGTATTATTCTATTTTAATGTCATACAAAATCATTAAGACAAAAAAATTACACAAATGGTAATACTTTTCAATGTATGTCCTCTATACTGTAAATACTACCTATTGTTGTAATTATGCTGTGGTAATAAAACACAGATCTTCTTACAATCAGGCCACCATTGCACTATACAAACCTGCACATAATCTGTGCTCTTACACGTCTTACACTAAGCTGAAGTGTCAAATTATATACAAGGTTAGGCATCTAAATTCAAGTAGTCTGAAGTGTATATTACTTCCTTGTTACCAAGAAAGAAAATTCAGCTTCCTGATTTTATTTTGCCATTCATTAGTGAAAATCTACCAAGATTAGGGCTGGTTTGAAACCAGAGGAGCAGGCTGGTGGCCACAAAGGTGAGGAAAGTTGTTCCATTGGTGAGGGGATACAGATAGAAATGAGGAAATCACAGTTATAGTATTATAATATTGTAGAAGATAGACATCATGTAGAATTCCCCAAGTTATCTAATTTATTTCCTAACTCAGACTAGAAAATACTCATAACTGAAAGCATGATAGCAGTGATAAATAATATGTGTGTTTACATGTGTAGGATCAAAACAACACAGAAACAAGGACACTTATAATGGGAAATTACCTGAGGCATTTCAAGCAGTTCAAAACTGCTTACTAATGCCCCTGACAGATGACACTTGAATTGGTTCTCTGTTACAAAGTTTAGACCCTTCTAGTTTTTTTCAGTAGAGCTGTGAAATTACTTTGGTAAAACCACACAAAGACTAACACATAGCACACACTAATTCCATTTTCTCAGTCTATTTCACAGTCCCTTGAGGGCTGAAAGATAGCAAGACTGAAGTCATAGATTTAGAAGAGCTATAACACCCACACCTGCAAAGTGCTGACTATTCCTAGGCTTCAACAACCATACTGAGACCAAGAGGTATTCTTCACTTTCCTTGAGTTGGTAGTAACTACAAAACAAAAAGCCAGCATGCACAGCAGGTAGGTTACAACTGCCTAACACATTTTCACTTGTGACCTAACCATGTTTGAGCACATTCTCAGAATTAAAAAGCTAATGAGCAACTCCAACAATTAGGAAAACTTATTTCAGAGCCAGTAATGGACTGCATTTATGATTACGGGTGGCCAGTTTTAAGGTAAGAGAGACATGGAATGCATTTTGAGAAACAGTAGTCCTTCTTCCACATTATTACAGAAATTTTGAGATGATTGTATCTGCCTTGCAATTAGAAGTTTACTTGTTTTTTCCATAAAACTCAGCTACCTGAAAATCTAACAGGTCATAAACAATGTGATTCATAAAGCATCAATCCATAACAAGTCATAACAGTTATCAGTACTACATGCTTTTTATCATTTCCCTCCCCTTCTTTATGAGGGGAAATAATATGGATTCCTTTTTAGGCAGCATTAGTGACTTCTATGGTACAGCTGCTTTTCCTCACAGAACAGCAATAACAGCTGCCAGAGGGAAAATAAACAACTGGCTTGTCTGCAATTTTTATAAAGCACACAAATAATTTCACATATGTGAAATATTAACCCTACTAAGTTCACAAAAATTTTTCCACTGGCTTCTGTTGGGTCAGTTTTTTACCAATGTTTGCCATCACATACCCATTTCAATAAGAGTAGAAACTTGTATTCCATGCACAAACAGCCAAACAATAGCTCTTCATTATTTAAGCTTCTGCTGCTTAGGAATATTTCCAACTTTACATGTTATCCCTTAGATTTTAAGCAACGTCCAGAGCCAGGAAGAGAATAAACGTTATTTCCTTTGCTCCTGGATGGAACAAATCACCTAGCCCTCTTATGACATAGCAGTCACCAGAGAAAAAGCTGGAGAATTTTTGTGGGGTGTGTGGTACCCAGCTGCTACTATCACTACCCGCAATAATGCAAAAATATAAGAGCATAAGGAAATTTATTTCTGTTTTTATTACAAACCTTCATCCTTCAGTTGGTCAGCCTTTGCAACGCCTTCTGGTAAAGAACGTGAGAGGGGCAGCATGTCATTCTGTATGGAAAAAATACCAAGATTTTTTCCATTAATATATAAGTCCTGATGTTATCAAAAACTTTCAGAAAGAAGGGAGAAACATCAGCAAACTACGAATGACCTTAGGCACATCAGGCATTTATCTCTGGGAATTGCAAAATGCTTAAATGAAGAATAAAAAACTTCAAGTGAAAATAAGGCATCCACTGTTTAGTAATTTTCTGTATGGAATTTTCCTTGTCTAGCTGAAATGAATTCCTCCCACTGCCCCCAAAGATTCACATTATGCTAGCTTTTATGGAAATGTAGGGTTTCTCATATTTTCCTTAAGTTTCACATCATTTTGACCTATAAAGAACTTTAATATTGTTGTATTCGTCTACAATATGAAACCTTAGCACATACTGGCAGAGTAACTCTAGAACCAAAATTAAATTCTTACCTTTTGAATAGAATTTGTGAACATTTCTATCAAATGCTGTGAGGATGCAAGATGAGTATCTTCCAGGGTAATCTTAAACACAGTCTCCAGACACTGAATTGCAACTTACAGGAAAAAAAATTAATAACATAGGTCACCAGTTTCTCAATATAAGCATAATTATACTGATTTATTTATAAAGCTGTGACTCACTTCCTTATTCAACTAGTAAAAGCAGCTCCTTGGAACATAAAAAAATAAAGAGAGGCTACCTGATCACCAGAATGAGCTTGCTGAAAAAGATCTAAAATATAGACAATCCACATATAGTTTGGCCATTATATTTAAATCAATTTAAAATTTCAATTTTAATTCTTTCAGTCTTTTGAAGTTTTTTTAAAATTATAAAAATATAGTGATTTAAGAAGAGCACCACAACTCATAATATGACTAGAAATGTCCGTGTCACACATCCCACCTCAAAGCACACAACTGGCTATAGATATTTGTGTGCCATAACAGCTGGAAGAAAATGGCTCATCTTTGGTGTACAGAATAAAGGCAAGATGCTTACTAGTCTTATTTTTTTTTTTTTTTGAAAAAAAGTATATTTATTTGAAGATACTTTATTAATCAAATGCTGCATTAATCACAAAACTTTGTCCTATAAAAATATATCTGCAATATCATTTCACATGTTCTGTGTGTAAGGATTAGCCTGCAGTAATGTAAATACACTCAGATTAAACCTGAAAATGTAGAGCCATATCCCTACCAGAAGTTTTAAATATGCTCATATTTTTAGACAAAAGAAGATCAGTAGCAATTACTATATACCATTCTGTCTAGATACATACATACACATACACCGTTAAACTGTTGCAAATTATATAATTATTTTAGCTACAATCTTAAAATTGTAGTACAATTTTTTTATTAACATGTATCATCTAATGTTTTAGACTGAAAACTGAGGAGGAACAAAAAGGGTCTTTGTAAAGCCTAGCTTGAACAGAAAAATGGGTGTTTTAACACATACTATGGACAACCAGGAGTATCTGAATTCAAATTAAGTATCAGTGAAAGCCGATTCTTAGTATTTAAATGTACCCTCAATCCAATGTTAACATAATAAATATAATTTGAATTACTTTTTGCTTTATAATGAGACTGAACACTGATCCAAAATTAGAAAAGTAAAGTTACTGAATGTTAACAACTATAAGGCCAGTTTTTATCTTCTATGACACAGCTGGCAGGAAGGGGTTGAGGGGGAGGGGGAAGAGGTTTGTAAAACAGATAGTAAAACCTGGAAGATGTAATTTTTTTAGAAAATTATACAATAGACATTTCACAAACAGTATGGCATGACACAAAGTTGAAGTTGATACCATGTAACAATTGAATACACTGCTGAATACGCATTATACAAGTTGCTTCTGTAATCTAGAAATCAATTGACCAGGTCCTAAATTATCCAGTAAGAGCACTGAGGGATTCAGGTTAAGCTCATTTGTCTCCTGCTGTGTGAAAAACTTAATTCTTGTAAGCACAGATTATGCTGAATTTTGAAACATATATAAACCTTTAATAGAACTTTTTATTACCAGGCTGATTATAAAATCAGTGAAATAACACATATAATTTTTCCTTATATGACTTAATAGGAAGCCACATGCAATAGTTTCCTACTAATTTTCCCTGCCATCCTATTTTTACTGAAAGGCACTCCCTCTTCTGAATACCTCTCCTCATTTGTAATTTTGCATAAATTTAAAATACAACCACATCCCTTATCTTTCTCAAGGTATCAAATCTATGACACCAAATCTCTATGATACAGAAGAGTTTAAAAAAATGCAGCAGTGCACATTATGTGTAAACAAAATTACTCTGACTATAGTATTATTACTACTCAGCATTTTCATCAAATAATTAGTTGGTGCTGTGAATTCCCATATTTCTCCTTTAAGTGGAAAATGGAATTTATAATCCTTCTATCTATCATATATAGCATATGTGATATATATAGATATAATAAAATTAGGACCTCTTATAGTATGAATCGATAGATTAGAAAAACCACTGGCTAAATGCAAGCCAAGAACAGAAATCCACAGAGTAGGAAACATTGCTAAACAAAAACACTTTCAAATCAGAAAACATAGTAAGTTGCGACAAGGTTGGTAACTACCCGGTTTTAACAGTACACAAAAACACAACTCCAGTAAAGTCAAAGGAGTGGGAACTTGGTTTTTGCCTGAAAAGTTTCTCAGGAGGCCAGACTGCTAGCACCTTGCTATCCCATTTATCCAAGTGAGGCACTGTCAAATTCTGCAAGCTTGATATTATCAGGGAAAAGACTTGATGCACCATATGAGCTGTTCACCTAAGATTTTTCCTATGTCTGACATCAAAGGCCAAACTTATCTGTTCTCCCAGTTAGCTCTACCATCATCCACCTAGATGGTGGCTCAAGCTTGAAGCAACCACCTTGCAAACCACTTCCCTGCTGAAGAGCTGGGGCTCACACAAACACCCACTATCTGACTGTAGTAGCACTATGCTGGAACCCATTGCCACAAAGCTCCAGGACTTCTGCTGTCCAAACACAAGTCTGCATCACCAAGCAACACGAAGGCCAACACAGCCTGCATCACAGCCAACATGCAGGCTGAATAATGAGCATTAATCGGGCTGCTGAGGCCCCCTTAGTACTTGCTGTTATCTTGCTTCATCTTACACATAACCTTACCTGTGTCAAGTATTACATGCATCCACTGCCTTCCTGTTTTGGAAACACTGCCCTACAGAAAATAGTTGTGGTATATCAATCATAGAAGTAAGAAGAAAATCACAGCCTTGGGTATGTTTTAGAGAGTTTTTGCTTTAATCCCACAGAAATAGGTGCTATAGAAAAGAAGAAAGAAAGGGAGAGTGACAGAGAGGAAAATAAAACCTCCACTCTGTAAAAAGGAAAGAGAAATACCTGCAATTTAAGCACAGTCTAAAATGTAACTTGGAAGAAGGGAAGTTTCTGGCTCATACAAAAGAGATGAGCACTAAGCACCAGGGATCTGTATCACTGCTCTAGATGCTAGGGGAATATATTTCTCTGGTCTACCTTCCAATTACTCTGCTTTCTCAAAATAAGGTATTTTTATTCATCAAGCCAGTACAAAATTCCTAAAGGAAATTCACACTCTCATTGACATATCTATATAATTCAAACATGCAGTATGCAGGTTATTGTTGACTATGAATACATCCTAGGCTTGTATTTTATAAAGGCTCAATTTTTTTGTGATGTTCTATCTCTTTTTTTTTGTTGTTTTACAAAAATTGGGAACTGTTTGAATTACTTCTTGGCACAGTCACTTAATCATACAGTGTTTTGTCTTTTCACAGACACCAAGTAGGTACATAAGGTACCAACAAAAACTATCAGTCAATTCTTTTCATCCCGTATGTCTCCACCTAGCATTAAATACTTCAGTGAGTAAGATTTGGCTATTGCTATTGTACACGCACTAAAGATAATTTGCACAGCTAAAATGAGTCTATTTTTCAGAATGCCTGCCTCTTATCCTCTAACACATAGCATATGGTACCGGGCTTATGGCAGAGCATAAATCTAAAAATAGGATTTCAGATCTATATTAAAATGGTAAATTTTGCCTTGGTTTTTAAGCACAACTGAGGTTTTGTAATATCTTTTATTTAGAAAACTGAATCTTAAAATTGATTCTTTCATAAACACACTGGCTAAGGCTCCTCTAAGATATGTTATCAGGTAAATTTTCAACCGTAACCCAATTTTTGCCAGTTTCATTATAAAAGCAAAAGTAAATCTCTTCACCTCTATTATGTATGACTTCCAAAAAGTTTTCTTTCATCAGATGAACATCACCATAATCTGACACACACATTAAATTTATTGATGGCTGCTACTTTTCAAATGTACAAAATGCTCCAGATTCTGATGTAAAACCAAATCTTTTAACTTTTATTCCTTTGGGACTATCCTTTGAATATAATGACACAAAGCTTTCTTTCTTGTTTACTTTGGTGAACAACTACACTGGACAACCAGTTGATAATAGAAAGAAGCACACTCCAGATTTATCTTTTAATTTATGTCCCTGAGAAGCAGGACTTGCTTTGCATCTCAGCAAAGTCTCTCCATGCCTAAGATTTTACAGAACTCAGTGATCAACTGCACTGCTGGTCCTAGACTTCTCTCCAAATTCCTCCTCTGGCTGATGGACACAGCTGAAGACTGCTTGAAACAGTGGAGAGATCTTTTTAAAAGATGCTATGAAATACTTACTGCAGCGTTAAGACATAAGTCTTCTCTCAGTGCCACATTCTGATACCACCTGACATGAAGTCTCCATTAATTAGGGAAAAGGAATAAGAGCAGTATGAAGGAGAACATCAAATACTACGAAGTTACAAAGACCTAATGAGCATCTGTCAATAGAGAAATACAGAGAGAATATATCTACAGATAGATGAATTCGGGTGTATAGTAGAAGCTACACTATACTGAAAATATCCATTACCACATACTCTTTGGAGCCAGTAGTCAAGTGAAAAAGAAAAGCAAAGCATTTATCTTATTTTCTTAGGATATCTTTTTCCTCACAAATAGAATCCTTGAAAGTAGGAAACATTCTACCAAATGTTTCCAATAAACAATACCAAATAAATCAAAACCAATATACCAAACCAAATAAACCAAAACCAATATAGTATTTGTTTTACTTCCTCTGTAACCAGAGGAACAGAAATGAAATGAAGAAAGAAAGCAAACATGGAAGAGAGAAAGAGCAGCAGAAATTTGTGGTATACATACACAAGTCATTACCACTGTCTGCATTATAGCACTGCTTAACTTAGAATCATGGAATTGTTCAGATTGAGAAAGACCTCTGCAGCTGGTGTGACTTAAAGTGCCTGTTGCTCAAATTAAGGCACTACACATTTGTAGCTTTATAATACTTTAAAAACGAGAGATGCCTTACAATTAATAATCTCAGAAACAGGATCACAATCTTACTTGCATATAATATCTGGTGGCAGTTTCATTTATGTCATTTCAGTTACTTTCTGTAATATTATACATAAAGGAATTTAACATCTGTGCAGGCATTATATACATACACACACATATATATGTATGTATACATATAAATAAAAATATGTGAAAGCACATTTGTTGCTTACCTTCCAAGCTTTCTTGTTCATCTGGAGTGAAAGTATCCATCTGACTCTGTTCTCTCAAGAAACGGATGACTGCATAAACCAAGCGCTTGACCGATGACATGTTGAAATTGTTTTCTGTTATGTCTTAAAACAACAGAATCTCTTATTTTAGAAAATTAATCCCTACAGTATTCCAACCTCCTAGTAACCTCAGTAAGAAGTGCACACAATACATAAAATCTAATCCTTCACCAGAAAGCCCAATAACATGATATGTTGAAAAAAGTGATGAATTTGCATGGATTAGGGAAAACTGCTACAATAATGTAGTCTAACTATCAGCAGAAAAGCACATATTTCCTCCAGTTCATTCCTGGAAGAAAAGTTCACAAAGGCTAAAATAACTTAGCAACTTATTTTTCATTTATCAGTTTCTTTTAATGGTTTTCACTTTATCTACATATCCACTTGCAAGTAGGAGCAGATGCTGAAGTCAAAACCAATAAAAAGCCACTGTGATAAATATGACATAAAGAAACACACTTCAGTAGAAGTTGTTTCATTATATGACTTGGTGTTACCCTTTGATAAAAGATGTTCTATGGTGTGACATGCACAATGTTATCCTTCATTGTAAGATGTTCTATGGTGTGACACAGTGTTATCCTTTCATAAAAGGTGTTCTCTGGTGTGACATGCTATTATCCTTTAATAAAAGGTGTTCTATGGTGTGACATGGTGTTATCCTTTCATAAAAGGTGTTCGATAGTGTGACACGCTATTATCCTTTCATAAAAGGTGTTCTATGGTGATAGATGGTGTTATCCTTTCATAAAAGGTGTTCTATGGTGTGACATGGTGCTCTGAGCAGTTTATTGTCACTTTGGACAAAGAAATGGAACACTGTGACCTCAGTGCATACTTGTGATTAGTGACACTACTGGCTCAGTCTGATTTCCATTCAGCATCATCTGGGAGTTATATAACGTGGAGGACAATTTTAGTCACAACTTTTCAAGATATTTTTCCTTAAACCATTTTGATTTAAAAGGGCACAATCTTATCCAAGCAAAATCAGGTTTAAAATATAGCATTAAATGAATGGCAAGATCAGGACCTGCTCTTGCTACCTTATTTTCTTTCTACAACCCGCGACCAAACCGGTGTGCGGCCAAACCCACACTAGGCAAATCCCGTCGTGGAGATGGGGAAAGCCGGGAAGACCACCGGCCAGGGATGCACAGACGCGAGCACTGGGGTCCCCTATCCGCCCCCAGCGACGGACAGCGCGGGTCCCACCTGCCGGGCCGCGCTCCCTCCCCACGCCCACCTCCCGGTCCCCCCAGGCTCGGGTCCGCTCGCTCGGGACCCAAGGACAACTCTGCACCACCCGCGGCGCGGGCCCCTCCCGACCCCTCACGGACAGCGGCCGCGCCGCCCGGGGCCCGACCCGCCCCACCAGCCCCGAGGTCCACGGACCGGGGGCAGCACGGAAGCAGCTCCCAGCCTTCCCCTGCGCTCTCCGAGGGGACGGGCATCGCCCTTACCGTGCGAGATGCGGCGAGTCCGCGCTGCCTCCGGCTGCGAGACACCAGGGACGCGGGGGCGTGAGGAGGCGGCGGAAGCGGATGCGCAGGACCGCGGCGGAGCGGGGCTGAACACTGCGCCCGCGGGCGGCGGGAGGGTGGTGAGAGGGCGGCGCGGCAGCGGGCGCGGAAGCAAAGTCGTCGCTGCTGCTGCTGCTGCTGCTGCTGCTGCTGCTTCTTCTTCCTTCTCTCCTGCCTCCTCCTCTTCTCTGCAGCCTGTCTTTCCTCCTCCGGCTTTTTCTCCTCCTTTTCTCCTCCTCCTACTCCGCTGCCACCGCCCCCCGCGCCGCCCCCCATGCTGTCGCTGTGCGCGGGCGCGGCTCGCAGGTAGGCGCGCAGGGCAGGCGGCGGTGCCGCGGGAGCCGGGGCGGGAGCGGTGTCCGGTGCGGGGGTGGGTGTGTGTGAGGGCGGGGGGGCGGCAGCAGCAGGGACCGCCCGGCCCGACTGGAAGCCGGGGGAGCCCAGAGCCGCCCGCGGCTGGCAGGAGGTTCTCGGTCCTCGCTCGAGGAGCTGGGCCTGAGCCCCGGGCTGAGGGGGAGCTGCCGCGGGCGTGCGAGGCGCGCTGCGAGGGGCCAGGCAGATAGTGGGGCAGGAAACCTGACTGCCTGTGGGTTTATTGCCTCAGCTCCTGGAGCGATTCCCGCAGCCTGCCCTCCCTGGCGTGGACTCTGTTGTGGACGGCTTCCAGGTGGGCAGGATGGGCGAGGCCAAGCGAGGTCTCCTCTTGGTACTCTTTGCACTGAGTCAGAATCACTGCAAGAGAAATAGGACAGAATACAATGGATTGAGGGATACGGCTGTAGCAGCGGGGCTCTGCAGCAGGGTGTACGTGAATCAAAACCGGCAGTGTGCTCACAGTAGCTTTATAAAAAGGTGTGTCACTACTACACGTTGTAGGACAGGTGAAACAGGTAATGTAATGTCAAAAGGTTTTAAAATAGGGGATTACTTATATTCTCCATAATGAACACTAGCTCCAAACGGACCCCAGAAAACTGGCGTGAAAGAAGGCTTGTAGTCAGTTCTAGGCAGACTAGGCAAATAAACATAATTGCTTTTATTTTGGCCTCTCAGTTTTTCTAAAGGACTGCATTTGATAGGAAGCACTGAAATAGTATGAGGGTGCGTTGTGGTAAAGAGAATGAAGCTGAATTTCAGCATGAAATGGAAAAGATGGTTGCCTCACATGGTCTTTTGAGAAATGATAGTCATGTGCTTACTGCACAAAGTGTACAGTTTTTGTCCTATTTCACAGCCTTTGTTCATTTCAAATTAGGATTGAGCAGTATTAGCAGATAGAAAATAAGAATCAGAATATTTTCTTAAGGCTCCTGCTGCTGTTGAAAATTAAGTGATTTATTTTCCAGTGCTAAATAAAGTGCACATCTATTTTCTTTTCCTAATTTACATTTACATTCCTTTTTTTGTGCAATCATTTTCACTCTTCTCCTCGTTGACTATCTTTGTCTTACAAGAAGGGTTTTTTTATTTTCTTTATATGAAAGGTTTATCTTTGGTTGTAGTTTGCATTTGGACAATGAAGGTACCTCCTTCTTAAGTAAAATCAGTAAAATGGGGAATGGTTGCTGCACCTCATTAATTGTGATTTTTTTCCTCAAGTCATCATTTCAGTGTGCCCAAATAATTGTTTCATGAAAGACAGTATTCTTGAGTGTATCATAGTGACCTTAACTTTCAAAAGTTAAGGAGCTGGTCACAGAAATCTTGAATAGGTTCTGTCCCAACTTCTATTTTTCCTGAGGGCATCTTAACATGAGATAAAAATGACCATTCTTAGCAAGTGTCAAGTATTATGCCTTATATTAAATAATATGATGTTAGGGTTTTATTCTTTTGGTTAAAATAGGCAGCTTTGGAGAAGGAGGCTTTTTTCATTTTTTTTTCCTATTCAGATTGAAAGGATTTTAAAATGTAGATTTAATGCAATAAAATACATGGGGGAAAAAACTGGCTACATAATTAAGCATAGACGTCTGTTTACTTTATGAGGATATTCTTATATATGAAAAAAATAAAAGAAGACACACTGATTTAAATAATTTTAGTGTTCTAAAAACATTTCTTGGATTCATGAATTCTGGGGTGTTTCTTTGAAAATATTCAAAATCAGGTTTTGAGTATGAAAATCCATGTACATGACTGAGACAGGTATCAACATACTGTACTATATATGGGTATCAATATAATGAAAGAAAGTGGAAGCAAACTCTGAACACTATAATTTCTCTTGCTGAGAAAGAAAACCAGCAAGAAACTGAGGCTGGGAAAAGGCAGAAGCAGGAGTGACACTGAAGGACAAAGAAATGGGAAGAACTTCCATAGTAATTTTCCTATTTCATACTTAGAACAATAATATATCTGTTTCTTTCATTGAAGTATCAGGTCCAACACCTCAGAAATGGCAAAGGCCAAACAAGACATTTAGGACATTTTTGCCTTTGCCTATAATCTGTGGACTGCATGAACTCGCCTGTGTATTGCAGCAGCAATTTTTTTCTGTGGTCAAAAGCAACACTGTAATATTAAGTACAGGGTTAATAAAACATAAGACCAAAATGATCACCCCGAGCCCCCCAGTTCAGCAGGCACCTCCTTATTTTGCTTTCTGAAAAAAAGCTACCTGAGCAGTGCACAGTACTTTGTTTGCTACTCAGGAAATTGGTGTCTCCTCCCTGATTTGCAGGGAGTGAGTGAGACCCTGCTCAGCCCAGGGAAAAGCACATGTGCAAATCCTCAGGGAGCATCATGATGGCAGAATGTGCTTCCAGACTGAAAGGACTGAAAAGGCAAGCAAATATAAAGTGTATGATATATAACCACCTTTCTAACCACAGCAGGCTCCTGAAAAGCAGTTTGTCTGTGAGATGGAATTTGCAGAACAAAATTATTTCCTGGACTGGGTGAGACAAAGCTGTTGAGCTGGCAAGCATTTGTGGACTTTATTTGACCCATGGAGCACCAGTTAGACCATGCTAAACAATGTTGTTAGTGTATTTTGAGGACATAACTGTTCTATCATTCTTGCTATAAAGCAAGAAATGCCTGGCTTGGAAAGATTTATTTAGAGTAGTTTGTGTTACTTCAAAAGTCTAACCATTGTTAGCAGGAGTCAGGATGAGGTACCTTAGAAAACATGTAAGATAATATGTACATCTAGTATTATCTTTTCAGAACTGTCTAGGAATTAGGAACTTCTAGCAAAAAACTGTTATTTTCATATGATCTTGTATAAAAATCTGTTCAGTGATAACTTTTAATATTGAACCTGTCTCCTAAAACTCTTGCTGGTTGTGTTGAAATTTACAGGTTAAAAGTTGATCCTTGTTCATTCTCTCCATCCTCTTCACGATCGTTTAGATCTTTGAAGTACTTCCTCAGTTGTGCTTTATTCTGGGATTTTTTTTCCATTCCAAAGAATCCCAGTCTAGTTAGTATTTGTACTTTGAGTGGAGTCCATTTCTCGATGCAGCTGATTGTTTCTAAGCCTTTGTTATTTCTAATTCATCATGACTTGGTAGAACAGAAAAAGGTTTTGGCAAGTGGGAGAACAGAAGACAAGAGAGTTTAACTGTTCAGATGACCAGAAATGCATGTAGTATGCATGTGCTTCATGCATATGGTATAGTGAATTTCTATGTTTTGTTCTATTCCACCTCTACTAAATCCTGTAATTTCTTTCTTTGCAGCTGCTTCTTTGTTGATGTTTCTGTTGAACTGTTTTGTCTTCAGAATGGTTATATGTCTCACAACTCCTCCTGTGTATGTGAAGTCAGAAGTGTGTGACATTTATTAAGACTGAAATTCACTTTGTTAGTGGTTTTAAACTTTTCTGTGTTGTGACATTGTTTTTCATCTCTTTGTGGCTGCCTTTTGTACTGCATTGTTATGACTAAATAGTCATTAGTAAATTTTGTAATTTCATTAATCCCAACTTTTTGTAGATGATGTATAAAGACATGAAAGAATACAGAACCCTACATGGAACCTTGCATGATTCCACAGGTCACAGAGTTCTATTCAGAAAACAGCCTAATTTTTAAAACCATTTACCTGCAAGAGGATCTACCTTCTCATCCCACAACAACATAGTTCTGTGGAAATGAAATAGATTATATTAACTCAACTATAGATTTTTGAGTCTGAATTTTTCTCTGTAGAGGAGACTCTTTTTCAGTAAATGTTATCTGTGTTTAGATTGGAGAAGGTGAGGTGAGGATGGTAGTGATTTTACTTGTTTCTGAGTGAAATATTACTGGACACTTGTGTTTTTAATACCATCTCTAACAGACACTTTTTATTTCTTCAGTGAAAAGTTAAATAAGCAAAGTTATTTGCCATATTAATTGTGGTGGAACAATATTTCACATAACCTGTAATCAGCCTGCAAAGCGCAGTGTTCCTAAATCACTTTTCACTCAAAAGCCAGAGAAGAAAGCAGACTTCATTTCCTTTCCTAATTTGTGGTGTTGAGCAGGCTGTTTGGGATTTTGCAAGCATTAAAATGAACATGGCTTGTTTATAATACACTGTCTTCCCAAGGAGATGGGAAGACTGATTTAAGGTGGTAAACAAGTGAGGCAGAGTAGGTCTTCATCTCTATGAAGACACAGCATTTTCCAACCAACTAGTGATGGCAAGGGAACATTTCTCATTGCTTTGACTCTTATGAGACAAGATTAGTGAGAAGTCAAAGCATATTTCCATGGAAGAGGCTGAACTGATTAGCAGTGGATATCAAGAGAAAGGGTTTACAGACTCCCAGTATTTTCCTCTGTCCTGCAGTACCAGCTCTTTTTCAGATAGAGTTAACAAGCTGTTTCTCATGCATTAGCTGATTGCATTCAACTACTGAGCTATCCTGGGAGTGTGTTGTTTGCACTAAACAGCCTGCACTTGCTGTTTATGGCTGTCATGATGGAAATGTGATATGTGCTTACGCAGCAGCACCTGAGAGAAGATGTAGGACCTTAAAAGCAATTTTTTTCCCACTGTATTTCCACAGTTTGCCTGATAGTAGAACCAAACAATAAGACAACCTCAATTAATGCCTTGTGCCTCAGACTCAGTATAGTACAATTACTGTCTACAAGCAAGTGTTGAGAATATTCTTTCCTGGGAATCCTGCAAGCAAGTTACTTTAGTGGAGGTTTGCTGTGACAAGCAATGGATACAGTTCACAAAGTGCTGTGAAACCTAAATTAGTAGTACTAGTAATTTATGGGTTGGGTTTTGGGGTATGTTGGGTTTTTTTGTTTGGCTCATTGGTTGTTTGGTCTTGTTCTGTTTTTTTTCCCTAAAACCATAGA